TCACACTTTATTGCTATAGACGAGCAATAAGGGTGACACGAAATCATTACAACATGACGTAAGTACAAAAACAAACGCAAGAAATCCTTCCCTAAGGAATAGTTGAAACACCCTCACTCTTATTACCAACTAGGGCACAAAAGTGAGAGACATTAAAAAAAATGTAAAAGAAATGTAGAAGAAGAGAAATTATGGCTTACGAGTGTTTAGAGTAAGATTCCTTCTTCTATAGCACTAGCTTTCTTCTCTGGAAAATTCCTCTGAGAAATGATTGAATGTGATTATTTCAGAGGTGACAAATACCCATGGCGGCCAATCACAACTTTTTGTTGCACTTTTGGACCAATAGGAGGAGAGCTTAAGGTAGTTTAGCCACAGTCCAGACTCTGCCGCCACCGTTTGGATGATGCTATTCCATTGGATTTTTACTTGTAGTCTCCCTTGTTGACATGTTTGGCCTTGGGATGGTGAGTGCCTTTTGTTGAATTATCCTTTCCTCCTCCTTTTGTTCGCCTTTTGCACTTTCGCCCTTCCAAGTTCTGATAATTATATATGAAACTCTACAAAATATAAAAATTAAAAATTAATCATAATACTATTCAAATTAATCATTCTAATTTAATAAACGCACACTATTAACCCTAATCCCTAATTCATTACCTCACTTTTTAGGGGTTAATCAGGGAGATGTTTTGAGTGTGAGTTTATAAATACTTAAAATTAAGAGGTGTAAGGGGACCCAAGTACATTTTTGGGAAAATATGAACCATAAGAGACGTGTTTCTTATAGCTTGTTCTTCTGTGTGTGTGTGTGTGTGTGTGTGAGGGAGAGAGAGAGAGAGAGTTGAATGAGAGTACCTAGGAGAAGGAAAAAGAAGAGGAAAAGAAAAAGGAAAAAATGAGGAGAAGAGGAATAGAGTTCGGGAAGCTAAGTGAGAGACAGAACATAGTGGGTTATGTATTTGGGTTTCTAGGAGGATTAAACTCGAGGGATTTTTTAAGGAAAAAACTTGCTTTATTCTTTGAAGTACAGACATGGTCTTGGTTTGTGGATTTTGTGTTTTAATAAATATAAAATATCATGTAATTGGGAATTATAATGGTTGGTTTGTATGTTAGAAGTTGTGGGGTTGAGAGAGAAAGTTTGGGGAACAATATGGGATGAAGAAGGGTTTCTGTTGAAATTCTACCAGTAGGAAATGGTGTTCTATCAGTAGAACGACAATCCGTAAGAAGTTCTACTGGTTGGAGATGTTGTCCAACTAATAGAAAAATGTTCTTAGAGTTTTACCAGTAGGAAGTAATGTTCTATTAGTAGAATGACCTTCTATGCGATGTTCTACTGGTAGAAAGTAATAACCTACCGGTAGAATGAGTTCTTGTGAGAAGTTCTCCTGGTGGGAGATGGTGTTCTACTAGTAGGACAAAATACTGAAAGGATTTCTATCGATAGAAACATAGATTTTTATTCGTTTTGCCATAATGACTATAACTCATTATTCATTAATCCCCAAACCTTTTATAAACATTTTTATGGATTTCAATCAATTATAAATGATCTTATTTACTTACAAACATATCATTAAACCTAATGGTTGGGGACATATAATAAATAGAAAGTAGATATTGGGAAGGTATTGGGCTAAGCTCAATTAATCACTTATGCATATGTGGCATGATATCATTGATTGTGAATGATATTTATATAATTTATGACAATGTATGTTAGGTACGGATACAATGACGTCAGTGTCGGATACAACGACGTCAGTGTCGGATTCAACTAAAACTATACAAAGGGAACGAGTTTGAGTTTGGAATTGAACCTGAGGTGAGTATATTGATCCATATTGATTGGAAATATGTATGACTATTATTAGTTATATTTATGTAATTATAGCTAAATTGTGAGTTGATGAACTTTGTGTTATGTGATGATGTTTGGTTATGAGTTGGATATATGAAACGAAGGTTTATGTGATTTTTCTGTGATCACAACTATTGAGACTATTAAGCATTTATAGTAACGTATACTAGCTGAGACTACTGGGCATAGATGGTAATAATAGATTTGCTGAGACTATTGGGTATAAACAGCAGCATTATGATTGTCGTGACACTAGGACAGAAATGGGTAGCATTAATTATTGTTAGTTGATCAAATAATGATATTAAATCATATTGTGTGGATTGTGTTGTGACTGTGCTATGCTTGAGTGTTTTCTTTTTGTATGTTTCAAATATACTTACTAAGTGTGTGATTTTGCTCACCGCTCCACAATTGCTTGTTTTTAGGAACATGGGAACTGAAAGGTGGTCCATTGGGAAGTCTAGCTTAACATAGGGAGGTTGACGTCAGAATGCACATTATGTCATGTAGCATAATTGTACATAGTTTTTGTTGATTATTAAGGATATTTAAGGGTGTGGTGCCTCAAACATTATACTATGTGAATGTTATATTTTCACATTATAGCAGTGGCTTGAAAATTATTGTACAGGTTAATTACTATGATTTAATTGTGGATTTAAGATAGCAAGATTTAAAATTGCCCTCACTCTATCTCTTTGTTGGGATGGAGTGTGAAAGTGACTTCGACGTCAACGACGGTGGCAACGGGGATGGCACAATGGTGGTGGTGGGGCAATGGTAGTGCTGGTGGTGGTGATGGAAGACGGGTGTTAAAAATTAAGAATGTAAAATGTATTGAGGGTATATTTGTCCATTACAAAGAATTTATAAAATATTTACAGACTAATAGTTTTATCATTAGGTAATAAGTAGGTGGATTATTACTTAAAATTTTTATCTATTTTAAAAAATACTTAAAATATTAAGTAATATTAATTTTAAGTTATCAAACGAATTTAATTCAACCTTCACTCCACAAATCTTTTTGTCCAATCTGTAGATTGAATTTGATTAAATGATTCATGAATTATTTGATTGTTGATTATAGAATCTTTTTCTTTTTTAGTTTCACTTAATTCATATACTTCTCTCAATCTAAATAACAGAATTTGATTTACTTTTGAAAGTACTTTTCTTATTTTTTTTATAAATAGAAGATGTAAAACAGATATTGGGGGTTCTAGAAAAGCATTTCGCAATTGATTTACCGAAAAATAAGTAGGTATGGTTTGGGTCGGATATGGGGTTGAAAGTAGAGCTGGATGCTAATGTCTCCGTTTTACGATGGGCCTCAGATCTTTTGCATGCTATTAAGAATATTCCCTGTTCGCTAGAGATCATGAGGAGGGTGGCAACGGTCGCATGTGCTATTTGGATTTCTAGAAATAATATCGTGTTTAACCATCAAAATTCAAATGCTCTTGCAACTCTATTGTGGGCTCAAAAGCAGTGGAGTGATTTGCGCCTCTCTGATATGGATAGGCATGAGGTCCAAAAGTTTTCTTCTCATCATTTTATTTCCCCAGGCCTCAACCATGATTATGTTCTGAGTTGTGATGGAGCATTTAAGAAGGATGTTGCTTCTATTGGGGGTGATTCTTCAAGGCTTAAATGGAGCAATAGTGGATGGTATTGCCAAAAAAATACCGGTTGTCTCCAGCTTATTTCTGAAGCTGCTGCAGTACATGAAGCTTGCCTTTTTACTTCTGTTTCTGCTCCACGAGACACGACCGTTGTAAGTGATAGTTTGGAGATGATTAAATTGAGCTTTAATGAAGTTGCCCCCCCCCCCCCCCCCCCCCCCCCCCCACCCCCCCCCCCCCCCCCCCCCCCCCCCCCCCCCCCCCCCCCCCCCCCCCCCCCCCCCCCCCCCCCCCCCCCCCCCCCCCCCCCCCCCCCCCCCCCCCCCCCCCCCCCCCCCCCCCCCCCCCCCCCCCCCCCCCCCCCCCCCCCCCCCCCCCCCCCCCCCCCCCCCCCCCCCCCCCCCCCCCCCCCCCCCCCCCCCCCCCCCCCCCCCCCCCCCCCCCCCCCCCCCCCCCCCCCCCCCCCCCCCCCCCCCCCCCCCCCCCCCCCCCCCCCCCCCCCCCCCCCCCCCCCCCCCCCCCCCCCCCCCCCCCCCCCCCCCCCCCCCCCCCCCCCCCCCCCCCCCCCCCCCCCCCCCCCCCCCCCCCCCCCCCCCCCCCCCCCCCCCCCCCCCCCCCCCCCCCCCCCCCCCCCCCCCCCCCCCCCCCCCCCCCCCCCCCCCCCCCCCCCCCCCCCCCCCCCCCCCCCCCCCCCCCCCCCCCCCCCCCCCCCCCCCCCCCCCCCCCCCCCCCCCCCCCCCCCCCCCCCCCCCCCCCCCCCCCCCCCCCCCCCCNCCCCCCCCCCCCCCCCCCCAATGGGTAATAGGCACCTTCACTAGTGACATTCGGCATTTTGTTAAAGCTCTTAACTTACGATTTTTACACAAATCGAGAGCTCAAAATAGAGTAGTTCATTGAGTTGCAATCATAACGTTATTTAACTCAATTCCTTTGAGTTTAGTGGACTGTCCTCCTTTCGAGCTTAAGATTTTCTTATTTACTGATTGTAATTATCACTTTCTTATGCAATGAAAATATTTTATCAATTATTTTCAAAACGAATTTAATTTATTAAACATTTAAATTTTCTAAACTTTGAAATAGCCCCTTAGCTTAACTCTAAAGTCAAGCCGTAGCCCCCACAATTTGCATAAACCAGCTGTCCCCACCCACCACTGACGCAACCTTTTTGACTTCCAAATCCAAGTCTTCAGTTTTCTAAGGTCCAAATTCAAATAAAACAAATGATCACGAATCTGAAAGCACTTCTGCAAATCAAATTTAGCGTACATTAATGATTAATTAATCAGCAAAACTTTTTGACAAATTCTACCCCGAGTACTAATTAGTTAGAACAATTTTTAAATTTTATTTTGTATTATTAAAAATTAATTTTTTTATATTATACTCTATATATATTAAAAATATTATAATATATAATTTTATATACTCATTTGGTCAATATCAATTCGGTGACTTTTGCTCGAATAAGAAACGGAAGATGACAAAAAGAGGACATTTCAACGCTTAAATATTACAAGGTGCAAAATAAGATCCCCCCAATTCAAAACCCCTATTTCTTTCAAAATTTACATATAACCCCACACTACCCCTCTCCATGAACCACATCGAAATGGGAAAAAGTCCATAACCTTTAACTCTTTTCCTTTTTCTCTTTATTTCTTCTCACATTGACTCGAAAAATAAACCCAACCCAGGGGCCAACTTCCCTTGCATCGCGATTTCTGTATGCCGGTGCTCCGCTTCGTAAGTCACAATCAGCATACTTGGATCATCAGTGGCTCTCTCCACGTGCTTCCTTGCCGGACAACCTCTAAAACTACTGCACTTATAATACCCCCTGAAAATGCAATAATTACAATCAGACCACGCTATACAGAAGTAAATAAAAAAAATCTAAAGAAATTATCATCGTAATTACCTTGGGTAAGGTGAGCCTTTGATAGGCTTTTGACCGTACTTTCTCCAAGAATACTCGTCCGCTGGAATATCGGCAATTTTTGAACTGATGGCCGGGACCCTAATTACGCTCTTAACCCTAGATTTCCTGAAAAATTACACAGATTAAAAATAAAACACAAATACGTACTCATAAAAAAAAAACAAAAAGTAAAGGTGTATTTGGATCACCAGATTTGAGGGAAAAAGAAGGCGAATTGGGTTAAAATTATCTTGGGGGTCCACTTATCTTTAATTTGACAAGGCAACTGTAAAAAGGATAATCGTTAGCCTTGAAAAGTCGGATCATATGAATTGGAGGGAAAGATTACCTCTGAGTCAGATATAGATAACCCAGATGAAGTATGAGATTTATAACCTTCTCAGGATAGTTAATCAATTTACGTAAACACCCCCCACACAATAACTTTCTTCGGGTTTTACCACCTTCACCCACATTTCAACGCAATGCACTGGTCCCCCTTGAGCTACGAACTGCCATGTGCCCGAAGGTATGCCCTCCAACCTATGAAGTATGGATACTTCGTCAAGGTCGACGTACCCGTATCCGATATCGTATCAGATACGATACTCGTCGAATACTCGATGATACATATCGGATACGCATCATCCGTATCCGATAATTAATAAAATATGTGGATACTTCGCGAATACTTTTAAACATGGTGCAAGATGTATAATTTTCAATTTTAAGCTATAACCCTTCTTTGGAGTTCGCATACAATATAAAACATCAACAAAATTCCATCTGATTTTAAAAACACGAGTGTTTTTTAAGTATTATCTATTATTATATCTTAAGCGAGTATAAAAAAAATGAATCACTTATACTATACTTTTAAAAATAAATACTTGTAAAACCAACTAGTTAAATGTTATTATAATTTCTTTAATTTGTCATGCTCATTTTATAAACAAATCATAATGAGATGATATTATAACATTTTCATGGTAAAAATTTTTAATTTTATTTACTAATGTTAAAGAATTATTGAAAATTTGTAATTTCTAAGTAATTAAATAATAATAAAATATAAAATATATTTTATTATAGACATATCTTGGCTGTACCCGTATCTTATTTTTTTAAGTTTTGTCGTATCGCCGTATCTGTATCATATCGTATTCGTATCACGTATCCGTATCCATGCTTCCTAACCTCCAACCCTTTGTCTCTCTTTGAGATCTCCAAAGTAGCAAACATAAGTTGCAAGGAGGTTTTTTTTTTTTTTTGCTAGTTAAAAAAAAAAAGGATGAGGGCACGAAAAGTGCTTTCAAACAACCTCGATAGGGTCACATAGGTGGGATTATGAGGCTATTAACCACGTTTGTTACTCCTCCTGATATCGAATCTAACTAGATTAGTATAACAATCAATCACCAAGCACCAATGTAAATTTTAAGATTCGAACTTCTAATCTAATGATGAAAAGTTCGATTGATACCTCTCTCGAAAACAAGGTATATTTTGGGTCTTTCAACGAACACTACGCTTTGACTATGTTGTAAATTATTTCAGATCTACTTTACGCGTCATCTAACGTTACTTTAAAAGCTACAATCACATCCCTTGTTTTTTGTTTTTATACATAAAAATGCAACATTGACTATTTTGGTTATAAATAAAAATTTTAAAAAATTCTTCGATCTTGTGTTTTTAAATGGACGGATATAACATTAAAATATTAAAATTTCTTAAATTTTATATAATACACTAAAAAATATAATTTCGCTTCAAAATAAGTATAACTTATCTTATGACAATCAATATTATTATTTTTATTAATTATTTTCATTAAAATAGTTCTTCAAATTAATTTTACCCACCATACCTAATCATCCAAACTTGGTATAGAATTAAAAATTATTTTATTGGAAAGGGTATAATGGTCTTTTTATTTACATTTATTAGGCCATGTGCATGGAATCCCCGGTTCCAAATTTTTCAATCCAAATAAAATATTGAATTGGATCAAGATAATTGAATCCATCTTTGATTGGATTACTTTGAATTTCTTTGGATCGGTTTGGATACCAAATCCAAACCAGTAAAATCTTGTGGGTTATTGTCAAACACTTGCACGCCATAAAAGAATCTGGATCCACTTTTGTTATTGCTCGATGACGGACGTTGACCTAAGTCCAACTAACGTCCCCCGAAAGTCAACAGCACTCGGCTCTGCAGTATACTGGAAATGTTATTTGAATTTTATTTAAAAATTTAATGATATATAACTATTCCATTAATTATGCATTCCATTTAACATTGAAATTTATAAATAATTCGATGATTATATTGAAACCACATCATTAAGTATCTAAATAAGATTCCCAAATAAAATCTCTATAGCATTGCTCACACATTTATGAGTACCCAACACCGTTTCTTTCAAAAAACACTAGGTCAAAAAACGTACACATTACTTTTACATGTGTATAGTTAGGGGTGCAACTTAGATGAAATTGGATGGATTGAGGAATCAACATTAGTTCAATTTTAATTCGACCTCAACTCGAGATATTCAACTTAAGTACCGACCGAGTTGAATTTGGACAAGTTTAAATTGAAATGGAGTAACCCAATTCAGATTGACATCGGATTATTTCCTTGATTACAGATTCCACCAAGAACACCCAACAGAATCGAAGGATGAAATTTAACAATGTTTTCCTAAACCCTCTGGCAACATATTAACTAGTCCTTTCAAACCTGTTACGATTATACAAGCTGAATATTAGGAAATAAGCTGTTTCTAAACTACCATTGGCAAAGATCTGTAACTTCATAAAGGACAAATGGGACAGAATAATGGAGAGAGAGAGTGAGAGAGAGCAGAATGTCTTGCAGGTCCAGGTAGTCGCAGATCAGCAGGTCCAGGGAGTCGCAGATCAGCAGGCCCACTGATCCGGCAGTCGCAAGACAGATAACATGTGGGGGCATAAGCGAACTGAGTGAGAAATGGCGGAGAGTGGCGGGGGAGACAGAGAGATATCTAAGATTTGAGATAGAGGAGGCGATGTCTGAGTGAGAGGGAGAGCTGAGAGAGATGGATGAAAATAGGCATAATAAAAACCATAGTTCTAAAATTGTGCATTTATATTTTTTTTTAAATTTGTCTGATTGACCCGATTTCAATAATTTAAATTGCGTTTGGATTAAATCTGAAAATCCAAAATCACATCCGAACACTATCCAAATTCAATTCTTATAAAATATTTTAGCCCAAGTCTGACCTAAATTTTAAAAACCTCAAGCCAAGTATTTTTTTGGGGTTGAATTCGAGTTTGCCACGAAAGTTCCATCCCTATGAATGGTCAATCAATGGATGAAAGCTGTTTAAACCAGTTTTTGTGTGTAACATGTACCGAACTTCTAAATTGCGACGGAATAGTAAACAACAGCAAACAATGCATACCTCTTCTTGCAGTGACACCTGCCGGACCTCGAGGCCTTGTAGGAAACATCATCGGAGTTTTCATGCTCACGACACATTTTACTGTCGATCGGTGGCTTCCCGGAAGAGCTCGCCGGCGGCGGAGTCAAGAACATGGACAAAGACCCACCTTGTTTACCATTCGACACGCTTCCCTCTCCGGTGATGGACGACAAGAAGGACGAGTTCACCGACGACGACAACGGTTGCGACATGCTGAAATTCTCCTTGGTACAAAGTCTTTTCAAAGCTTCATCACCCGGGTCAACTCTAAAATTGACGTCAGAGGTCAGTACATTCTGTTTCGAAAAATCTAGAGTCAGTGCCTGTGGCTGAGGCAGAGATTTTGCTGGTGGTGGCGATGGTGCTAGAGGGGGTTGATATGGAACCGGACCAAGCCGGAAGCGGGCATGGCGGGTCCTGTTCAGGACGGGGACGACTTTCTTGAACTTGGACACAGTGGAATCGGCGGGTTCTCTGCAGTCTAACTGAGTTGAGGGTTGGTTTTGATGGGTTTAATGAGACATGATTCGGATTAGATGTTCCATGCTTTTCAACCCGGCTAAGGCTGCTTCTTGTATTGTCATCTCCTCGTTCATATTCGAAAAACCAAGTAGCTCAACCGCCATTAAAGAGAGAGAGAGAGAAAGATTATGGAAGTAGACTGGGCATCGAAGAGGGAGAATACGAGAGAGAGAGAGATGAGTGGAAAGAAGGGTGGAGGAGAGGGAGATAAAAGGAAGGTGGTATCCGGATGACCGGGTTGGAGTCATTCAAGATTTTTAATGTGTTGAGGAAAGAAACAAAGGAGGGGTTGGTTTGGTTTGAAGTTGGAACTTGGAAGTGGGGTGGTGGGGTCCAGTGATGGAAAAAAGAGAGCCGGATAGACTGATTAGTTTAGCAGTAACGATATATAGATTTAAAAAATAGATTTAAAAATTAATATTGATAATTATAATTATTGATTTTATTGTGAATTTTAATATTTATTGAGACTCATTACCTATTCAATAGTTTAGATTATTAAATCTAATTTTTAAGTTCATCTAAAATTACTCTTAGTTTAATAGTCTTAAATTTATCCTGATATTTATTAAAGCTAATTTCCCTTGATACAGAGGTTCAAACGATGGGTCCGGATCTGTGTTTTAAAACTCGATCTGGGCATAAATTCATCAAAGAGAATGGATTACTGGATCAATAATTCAACAGTTAGGTTATAGTAAGATTTATAATATAATAATAAAAATAATAATAAATATAAATAACAATAAATAGACTAAAAATTTACAATAATAATGAAAATAGCATCAAACATGTGAAGTTGAGTAGAAAAAAATCATCAAACATTTAAAGTTAAGTAAAGATATACAACATTTGATATGTTATACATCTATTAGTTTTCAACAAGTTGAAGCTACAATGTGTCAACCCTGCTAGGCAATGTTTCAAAATTCAGTATGGCCCTATGGGTTGGCCTAAAAACCTAGTGAACCAAACTCTAAACCAGGCTAAATCATGAGTTAGATCGTTCGTGTATAAAATCCATCCAAAACTCGTTGAATCGGGCGGTTTTTAAATGAACCGTTTAAATCAGACGATTTTTTGAAATTGTTGGGTCATTAAAGTCCTATAAAAAAGGATAGATGACCTAGGCCCTAATCAATAGTCATCCACCAGTTGTACTCTGATCCTCGTTTCTATCTCTCTTTCTCTCCCTATAAGAGTCATTTGGTCTTGTTGTTTGTCTCATGGCTGCCTCTTACAAATCATTTATTCTCATTTTCTCAGTGCTGCTGAAGCTTGAATAGGAGAATGGAAGAAAGCTTTGATTATTTTTTTTCAACACATTCTCCTTCACTTGAAAGGTACTTCATCACCCTTCTCTCTCTCTGTGTCTCTGCACTCTTAGATGGTGGTGATTGTAGCTTTAATTTGCTAATTTGTGGGTTAATTATTTTGTGAATATTGAACTTTTTATACTTAATAATTTGGATTTTTTTGGCATGTTCTTCATCCACCTATTATGAATCCTACTTTAGTGGTGTTTGTTTGAAGTTGAACAGATTCAACTTCAAATATCTATGTTCCCTAAGACCTAATTTTTTTTGTTATGCTTTTTTTTTTTTTTCATTTTTGTTTGTTGTTGTTAATGAATTGAGCAAGAGAGAGAGAGAGAGAGAGAGAGAGGGAGAGGGAGAGAGAGAGAACAAGCTTACCCAAAGAAATGCAAAAAGTGATTCTTCCCGTTGGTATCTTTGAACTCTTCTTTAACCTTAAGCCCTGAACCAGTAAAACCCTAGGATTTGTTTGGTAAAGTGTAATGTTTTTGTAAAGGGTGAAAATGGATTCACCTCTCACAAGAGTTGATGAATATAGTTCTTGTATCATGTCTTCTCTTTCCTGCAAAATGAACGAACTACCTAGTACCGAAGTGCTTCGATCGAATTCATTCTGATGCTTAAGTCAATACTTGTATGTAAGGAATATGTATCCAGGGAGAGTTAAGCATCTCTTTTACTTTGCATACTCGACCCCTTATATAGTCTCTCTTTATTAGGGTTTCCCTGATTGATCATGTCTTCTCTTTCCTGCAAAACGAACAAACTATCTCGTACCGAAGTGTTTCGATTGAATGCATTCTGATGCTTAAGTCAGTACTTGTATGTAAGGAATATGTATCCAGGGAGAGTTGTGCATCTCTTTTACTATGCAAACCGACCCCTTTTATAGTCTCTCTTCATTAGGGTTCCCCTGATTGATGGTTCAAGGAGGCACGCCTCTTATCAATCTAAGATATTTGTTAGGGATTTTCTGAAATCTCTCCAAATGCTCCTTCTGTTGACTAGCTCTTCCCAACCCATTGATTGTGCTTGTTCATTATGCCTAAATGCCTAAATTATAGGCATTCCCTTAGCTTGAAGTTATTCCCATGTGGAGCTCGATTTCATTGAAATCGAGCTCTTGCTTTACTTAATAAGCTCTAACACAATTCGGCTCAGCATCATGAAACGAGTCCCCATAGCTTAACTTCATTGCTACTTTACTGTTTCCTCATGTGATATGTCTTGTCATCCTCACGTGAGCATATTAAATGCTCCTTGCACGTGGCTCCCTTTCACTTGCCCTAGAAACGTGAGTCAGACATTTTTTCGTCTAGCAGTCGTTCCATGCTCCCAAGTTATCATTGCATGGATCCTTGAGACATGCACTTTGTTTTGATAGCATATCTTGCATTAAATGTTTGTTCTTTGGGCTTTAATTGTTTTATCATGTCCACGCTTTTAAAAAGGGGTACAAAAATTCAATTGCTCTTCTTCTTTTAGCTTTCTCTCTGCTATCTTAGGTTTTATCTTTCTGAAATGGCACATCTCACTTCTTTAGACATACTTACATTCAGAACTAAGTAACAAATTCTTGATGACGTTCATATTTGTGTTGCTGGGACTGATGAGCCTTTGATTGGTGCTAGAGAGAGCATCCCCATCCATACTCGAGCCATCACTGAAGGTGCAATTTGCTTCCCTCTTCATCCCCTTCTTATGTTTTTAGCACTAAAATTGTGCTCTATTCAATGTTGCCCCAATTTTGTAAGGGCATTGATAGGAAGAAGTTTCACCAGCAGCATACTCCCAATTACTAGAGATAAATACAGTTTCATTTTCATGGCATTTGTTCGAGTCTAGAAGGTGGCTCACAAAGTAGTGATCCTTCTTGTAGGTGAAATTGTGAAGGGATGGATCCTAGAGCGATCCGTAAAGATGGAAGAGTTGAAGAAGTATGGTTTCAACGAATCCCTCTTTTGCCGAACTGCCTATACCTTGCTCAGGTATACTCCAACCTATATGTCCTTTATTGCGGTTCCTCATTCCCCTAACGCTACTCTGGCCGACGATTGTCAAGCCGTCTAGGCTGCTTGGGATCAAACTCCTCGTTCTCACAAGAAGGCTACAGCTGGTCCTTCTAGAAGGAACATGCCATTGAGGAATTTTGTTGACTTCTTTTTTTCTTCAAACATGATTGAAATGCCTTCTACTCAAGCTCCATCTTCAGTCAAACCTGAAGGGCCTGCTTTAGAAGATCCTACCAAGGGAAGTAGGCAATTCACTTAGAGGAGCCTAGGGCTTTAGTGGATGTAATCCACGAGTCCTTTATCCACCCCGAACTCCCCTCTACCTCTTCCAAGCCATCTCTTCCTCCCTCCGATCTTCCAGAATCCATCCTGGTGCTATCCAACGACCATGTCCCTAAGAAGTGTGAAGTGCCAATGATTCCCCTTTCACACAATTTTGAAGGAAAAAAGGAGGAAAATCACTGTTCGAGATTCTGTTGTTTTGGATTTCAATGTGGAAGTAGGCATTGCTAGAGGAGTGATTCTTCCTCGTGACTTAGCTGCAAATGAGGCAATGTCCGACGATGAGATCACTCAACAAGCTATCAATAGATGGTTCTAGTACTTTTACGTTTCCTTTCTTTTTTCCTTTGCAAAATTAGTTTTGCTTTTAAGATATTTTTCATCTACCTTTCCTTGTGGTCTGCAGGGACTTCAAAAGGTTCAGGAAGTTGGGGTGAGAATTGCCAAGAAGGATAAGGCTATGAAGAAGGCAGTTCATGAGCGCATGTCTGCATTGGCGAAGAAGAAATCCACTAATGAGGACTATGCCAAGCTTTACAAGGAGATGTTGGTTCTCCAGGCTTAAATGCTAAGCTTGACTGATGAAAAAAAGAAGCTTGCAGTGGAGGTAGAGGATTTGAAAGCTTTAGAGTGTCCAATCAACATAGAGCTTTTCCAAACTCAGCTCGATCATTCCGACCTTTTGCAAGAATTCGAGCGGTTCAAGACTGAAGCCAAGGATCTAGAGGATTCTGCCTTTGAACAAGGGATGGTGAAGGTGGAAAATAACTTGGCTTTAAATAATACTACTCTGGAGAAGGCATATTTCTCTAAGGGTTCGCTTGTTGCCCAAACAACTACAAGTGTGCCCCATTCTTCTAAGCTATATACTCGTTATTCTGTTGTGGGCTCCTCCGAACTGCAACCATCCTGAAAATAAATGTCCATTCCCTCCCCCCCCCCCTTTTTTTTTTAACTCTTTTCCCCTTTTTTGATATGTACACGGAAGATCCTTTTAACAAGTTTCTTTGTATTCTCATTTTCTTTTTTAGTGTTTATGTCAAAAGCTTTTAGCCAGGAACTTAAACTTTCTACTCTAAGGAGTTACAGCCCTTGGTTGGCCCTTTTTCAAAGAGGTCGGTTAGAAGCACTTGGCTATGGAGCTTACAATACTAAGGAAGAATTATACTCCAAGAAGTTATGGCCATTGGTTGGCCCTTCTTCCAAGAGCTTGATCCCAAGCTAAGGACTATAAGAATTTATGGCCCTTGATCGGCCCTTCTTCAAAGAGTTCGGTCCCAAGCACTTAGCTAGGGACCTTTCAATACTTAGAATAATTCACTCTAAGAAGTTTTGGTCCTTCTTCAAAGAGTTCATCCTTACATTACTTGTTAATCAAGACTCGGTCCCCTTGGGCCTTTCAAAGTTTGTTTCCATACACTCACCGACCTTCCGATCTAATCAGACTCAGATCACTGCCCAATTGGTTTACACCGTCATGCCTAACCTTGGATC